AATCTTTTATTGAAAAATTACAATCTAATAAAAGATATACAAATTACTAAATGTTTTTTTTATATCTTTTATTATTATTAATAAAAAAAATTAAATTACTTCAGAATAGCATTTTAATAATAATAATAATAATAAAAAGAATTTTATTCTACAAAATCAATTTTAATTTGATTAAATATTTTAAAAAATTGCATGTGGTGTAGATGTATATTTTCGTTTAATGAAATTATGAAATACATGCAATTATAACAACCTGTTCAGGCAGACTTATAAGAATAGCTTTAATAACTTGTCCTGTTAATGCAATCTATACCTAGAGGGGAAAAATTGATATCTTCTGAATTGTTTCAAAATAAATAAATTTTGCTAAAATATATATATTGTATTTGAATCAAATTATTGTTACTTTATTTTAAAAAGAGTATAAATAATTTAAAAGCATTCAAATCTTTTTGAAGTTCAAGCAAAAAGCAAAAGAAAAAAATAATGAGAAAAATTGTGACAACCAATCTGTCCTTTACTAAATTTAAAAAAAAACCCTTTTAACAGCTTTAGTTTCATTTAAAATAATACAACTTAACGTTCAGTTTCAATAAATCCAGAATTAAAAGTTATTCGGTAACTATTTAAAAAGTATAAAAATTTTCCAACAAATTTTCTTCAATTACAGTTAGTATTAATGAATAATTCTGTAAGTTTCTATCTATTTCATAATTATGCCGCAAAGATAAGAATCTTTAGACAAAAATAATTCTAAAAAATTATTAAAATTTATTGAAAAAAAGATTCAGTTTTTGTTTATTTGATTTTATATTTTGTGCTGGGAATATCTTGAATAGTGTAAGATAAATGCAACAGGTGCTTTAGATTTGTTCATGCAAGCTGACAATATTGGAAAAAGATATATCTTATAAAAAAAAAAGAGAGAGATAGATAGATACACAAAAAAGAAAAATATATAGAACTAATATGACAAGATCCAAATTAAAATAATTTGGATCTTGTCATATTAGTTTAGGTTTTTCCATATAGATGTCAATACTTTTGAAGAATTGCATTTATTTTAGAAACAATGACTTTTTGAAGTATTTGAAGTTTTTGTTATTCTACATGTAATATTAGTGCAAGTTGTTCTTAATATGAATTGTTAGACTATATTTTTTTTATAATTTCTTTCTTAAACATTTATTTGTTTAATTCTACATTATATATCTTCAAACATTCTTAAAAATAATATAAAAATATAATAAAACTTATAGAAGGCCATACTATATTTTTATGGTAAACTTTCATTCTTAATTGTTTACAAATTGTTATTTAAGAATTAAATCTGCATTAGTCTCACATTTACTTGCATTGATACTATTTTAAATTATCTTTATGCATGTTGAAAGTGAATTAAAATTTATATATATGTACAGGGTGGTGCAAAAGCAAATATGTATCTCATTGTGTTAGACCGAATTTACGAATGCACGAACAATGACAGTGACCAATTTGTAATCCTGTGGGAGTAACATTTTTCTGTTTGTGAATAATGTAATATAATTCTTTGTATTGTTAATAATAATTGATTTTTAATAATGAATAAATAAATATTAATAAAGTGTACAACTACTTTAGAACCATCCTATTATGTAAATTATGTAATCCTATGCATTCCATATTAAGATTTTACTAAAATATGAATAAATAATAATTGTAATTAAGAATAAGTTTATATTGTTATATTTAATTGCAAAATTTGTTCTTTATAGCATTTCTTTGATTAGGAAGTTTTTATAATGAAATAAACCATAAAATCAATTTTCAATATTTTGCTGAAATTATACTGCACTATTGAAATGTTTCACTGAAATATTAAAATTTAATTAAGTTAATAGCTACAATATTAATGAGAGTACGTCACGTTTAGTAAAATTTTATAATTTATTTCTGTTAGATATGTATGTTGTTTTTAATATAGTACCTAATATTAGTTTATTTTAAAGACGACAATTTTGTATTATATTCATTTTTGTTTTTGATGGATAATCATCTATATTCTATAGTGTTTATCCTTTCTTAATAATAGCTGAGGATTATTGTTGTACCATGCATTATTAACAATTGCTTTTATCATAAATTATAAAAGTCGCACTAGAGATGAAGAAAGATTGTGTTAAAATAAGTAGAAAGACATGATTAATCAGTTTTTCCAAAAAAGGAAAAAAACAATACAGGTTGAACCTCACTAATCTGGGATTCACTAAGCTTGTAGCTCTGATAGTTTGTGATGACGATTTGAATCTGGCAATCGTTAATTTGCATGAATGTCACTTGACCACTATACACATTGTTAATGTGAAAAAGCTGAATTTATTCTATTCTGAACTTGGAAATAGCCAAAATTATCTTTAGCTATGTAATGTAAAAGCTTAGAAAAGTTGATTCTAACCTTAAAATGAGAAAAGAAGATAAACATTTGCCAAGGTTTTTATTGTTATCATAAGTTACAGCTCTTCTTTTTATATTTTTTGACCGTATGAAAAGTAGCCAAATTGTGATTTTCTTGTAATTTTTAATTCACCTGTTAACTTGTTTTGGTATTTCTCGTTCCAGATATTACTCAACATTAATTTACCATAGATTGCATGCAGAACATAAATACCATTTGGAAGTATATTTACATTTACATATTGTGTTACCAATATCAATAAGGCAATTTTTTGCTTTTTCTACTAATCTACTGTCAGAGCTGGCAAAAGCTTGTATGAAGTTAAGGGAGAGCAGACCTCTATTACAGTTTTTTTTTGAATAAATGGAATACATACAATGTTTCTTTATTAATAAAAATCAATTTTAAAGATTTTATGCTTTGTTAGTAAAAATAATATTAATTTACAGTGGAAAATAACATTAGGAACTACTCTGGCCTAGGGAAAAATCTTCAGCGTTCCCCTCTCAATGGCCATCTATTGTACTTATTTTTGTGTCACATTTTTTGTGCCATAGGCAGTATTACCAGAAATTCTTTTATTTCAAAGGACAATCTTTTATTTTAGCTAAACTGTCCTTGTCCTTTATCAAAATAAGAAGAGATGAAATTTGTCCTTTATTTTCATTTTTGTCAATGGCAGTGGTGGATTTTTGCACATGCATATGCTTATTCTTATATATCAGTCCACACTCTTTCACATAGAAAGTTTTGGTTTACCATTAAATATTTTAAATTCTAAATTAAACAAAAATTTGCAAATATAGTCAATGCAAATATTTTAATTTTTAAGTAAAAATCTAAAAAATAGAAACAGACTATTTAGTTCAGTTTTTGGAGTGAGACAGTAGAATGAATTAGAGAATGGTAGCATTAATGAATTTTAACTGTCCTTTAATTTGGTTGTAGAAATTTTGCAACCTAATTGCAGGACTAGTGCTTTGTCATGAAGTCTAGTAAGTCTGATCAAGATTTATTTATGCCTATGCTAAGTTGTATCAGTAAGTATAATTATTGTCCCAATTTAGTAATTAAACTATTAGTTACCTACATGCTTTAGTTATAGCAATTGTAGTGTTTGAAATTTTTATATTGTCAGTTGATAAAAGTAAAATTCAGAAAAATACATCAATCACATTTCACTACACTGTTACACACATCTAAGAAAATATATGGCTTGTTATGTAAGTATATTTTTTTTATTTTGAATTATTACCCTACTTCTTACATTAAAATAGTTAGCAGGAATTTCATGTAAAATTGGGAATTTAAAAAAACAATGAGCATATATTTATTGTGACATTGTCACTATGCCAGGCTGCCAATTTTTGTCACAGTGCTTTCAATTTTAGTAGTGTCTTGCCCCTGTATCTCATACTTTTCCTGTTAACAATAAAGCCATGCCTGTCAGCTATCTAACTTCATCAGTAATACAGTACAGTATATGCATTATTTTGTCTTTTTTTTTTAACCCAAAGCTTCACTGGTTTGGAAAATCTTCAACTGTAGCACTTGTCTGGTTCCAGGCTTGCCATATTAGTGAGCAAAATCAAATACTACTCTGTCTCAAATATATTTTAAAAATCTTTTAAGATAAATAAATAAATTACAGTATTTGCAAAATTTTTTTATAATTAAGAAAAGTTTGTTGATAAAATACATTTATTTTATAACTAAATAATTATTTCATTAGCCCTAAGTAAGAATTGTGTTACTCCATATGTGGTAGGACCATAGGACCATTCCATTGGGAAAGGTTTAAGATTCCTGGTTTTAAAGATGATAAAATTATTTATCAGAAACAAGAAATTTTTATTTTAAAACATATTTCCAATTATCAGAGAACTATAGTAGATTGTTACAGGGATTATATAAATTAATCAAAATTGGTTCAGCTAAGAATAATGTTCTGATGTCTTTTGTAGAAAATATGTTTAATTTCATCCAAAACTGGTCCTCTTCTATTGCTGATTTAGCTATAGTAGTATTTCCAGTTTTGACTTAATACAATATTTTATAGCCTTTACAAGTCACAACTAATCAGTTGACTAGAGAACAAATTCTATATAATAATTATTAATTTTTTTTTATCAGTGTTTTTCTTTTTGTTTCTTTTTGAAATATACAAATTATTTTATACATCCAAGAACATTTAAGAAAACATTTATGCATTTAAGAATAAATTGACCATTGTTATTTCAAGCTTTATATGGTGCATACAATGTATTGCAGTTACAGATTATAATTGTATTTAATCTGCTTTTGTAATCATTCTACCATAAATAAATTCTTCATTCCTCAATATAATTGATTGTTATTTTTTATGGAATGCATTTTTATGAATTCCCTATACAGTATTTGTATTTTAAACCTTACAGAACTAATAAATTAATCATTGTTTAATTCATTAATAGTGTTATATATTTATAAAAATTAAAATTAATACTGTATAATTTGCTTTTTTTTATGAATTAAAATTAGATATAAAAGAGATAATGTGTTAATAATCTGTTATATCTTTCAGGTGTTAATTTGTTTGCAGTGGCTGCTCATGAGTTTGGCCATTCGCTTGGACTTTCCCACAGTTCTATAGCAGGATCACTCATGTTTCCTTATTATCAAGGAATCAATGATAATTTTCAATTACCTTACGATGATACTGTTGGCATACAACAATTATATGGTAAGTTACTTTTACATAAAATTAATAATAATGCTTTTATATAGGTTATTTCCATATGTCATAGTTAAAGTGAAATAATTATTATTAGATATAATCATAGTGGCAGAACTATGGCTCTTCTAGATGCTTATCCTATTTATCTATATAATTTATTTTTATAAACTTGGTACTGCTTACACATATATAATGTTTTTTTAAGTTTGCTGACTATTATGTAATGTAATATAAACACTGATTATGAGTATAACCCATGACTTAATCTTGAAAAAGCAACTGTAAGCTAGTGGTATATTTGTAGTTAAAGGCGTTAAATTAATGTTTATCATGTCATAAAGTATCAGTAAATTAACAGTGATATCTACTATAGAATAGTGATAACTTAGTATTTTAACTATATATAAAATACTATTCCAATAGAAGATGCAGATTATTTACTATAAGTTATATATGGTTCCTATTGGGGTAAGATTTGACCACCCAGAGATATAAAATGAATAAATTCATATAATCATGGCCATTATAAGACATTAGAATTGAAACTTATGAATGAAAAACAATATTAAATTTAGATAATACATTAAAAAATAAATTTCTCAAAATTTATTGAATCAAGAATAACAATATAGTTTGACATTAAACAACGGCATTAATATTAACAGATATTTATATATGAAGCTAAAATTAGTAATATTTGCCAAATATAATCATTCACTTTTATAACTACTTAAAATGGATTTTTTGGACGAATAAAATGAAATGTTATGTTGTTTGAATCTGACATTCATTCGAGTACAAGAATTACTCAGAAGACAGATATTTTATTTAAACGTGTTTTGGATTGGAATTCTCACCAATCCCTCTTCAGTAAAGGTACAATCCACGACAGACCCCACACTAATATTTCAGACTCTTCAAAATCAAACACAGTAATATTAAATAAAATATCTGAGAATTAATTGTCTTATGAATAATTCTTGAACTCATGAACGTTGGATTCGAAGGACATAAAATTTCGGTGTATATGTCCAAAAATCCCTTTTAAGTGTTTTTAAAAGTGAGCTATTTATATACTTGAAATATTTATTTCTTTTATAAGAGTTAAAATATAATCAAAAATATCTATATACACAATGATTCTACAAATAGATCGTACTAAACTGATAAAATGTTATTTTATCAAATCAGTAGTAGAAGGTATATTATTATTAAAAAGTCCATGTTTTATTTTGTACAGTACATTAAATACATTACAAAGAATGACTTATATATATAGAATATTTAAAACTTACAAATAACAATATAAAATAATGCTATTATTAAATGATGAATAGCTTTTTCAAAAAAAAAATTATTTTAAATATAAAAATTGTGACTGAAAACATCTAGTTACAGTACTGGTATATAATTATAAGCTATATACTTTATACATAGTTACATTTGATGTATCTGTACAGTGATGTACTTAGGATTTAATCTTAGAGAGCCGAGCTAAACAGATAAAAAAATTTTTAACGCGAATTCAGTAAAATTCCCATCTTATATGGCCTCTAATTCATAAGTAGTGTAAAAATAGAAGACATGACAGCTTATAAATAAGAAAATGAATTTTAATTAGGAAAAGATTTTTGGATAATTCTATAGTTTTTTTCCTTTTCCTTTGGAGGGTGCCAGAACCCTTGGCCTCCTCTTAGTGTGCCACTGTATCTATATACATTGTAATTTTGATGATTAAACCAAGATTATGTTGTTAATAAAAGATTTTATATTTAATTTTTATGAAATTTTATTTATTTAAATTTTATCAAATGATTGATTTTATTTAAACTTTTAAAGTAAATTACAAAATACATTTTTGCAATTCATTATGATTTATTCTTTATTTTTCAGAATTAAAAAATTTTGCATTTTAATTTTTGATATACTTTTTTGCATGTTGATATATGGTTTACATATATTACAAATATTATTTTGTTAGTATTAAATATTTTAATACATTTTATAATGAGAAGCAAATAAAAATAATTATTTAATTTTGACAATTTAAACCTGTTTGTTGTTTAAATATAAATTATTTATATTAAGATATAACCATTTATGGAAATTATTAAATGGCTGAACTTATGAAGCAAAACAAAAATTATTGCATAAGTTAAAAAGCTATAATAATAATAATAAAAAAATTATAAAAAAATTATTCCAAGGCTATTTTGCAACTTGAGATTAAGTCACGACAAAAAAGTCTTTACCAATATTAATTTTTTAAATTATAGAAATGACCTTCTTTAATAAAAAAGAACAGGAAGTAGCCTCATTTTACTCTGCTAACTGTAATTTTTATTTAAAATTAAAAGAAATGACTTAATTTATACATTAAAGTGATAGATACATTTAACACAAGCTTCATAAATGTGATTTAACTTGTGTTAAATTAAGTAATTATTTATAAATATATTTTGAATAGTAATAAATCTGTAGAAATAAATATAAAGTAATTTTAAATTACAGTGAAGTGTCAAAAATCTGGATTAATTGGGCCAGATCACATCTGGATTTCTAATTCATCTGAATTTTCAAATATGCATGTAAATTAGCATTTTAAGTACTGTAAACTTCAAATACATTGTAATTCAAGTTGAGGTATTCTAAGATCAAGTTAGTATTTCACAAGAAATGTAAGAATAGTTACAAAGATTTCAAATATAGTTTACAGAATCACTATATTTAAACATAAAATACACTAATCATGATTTCAAAATTAAATAAATTATAAAATCTGAGTGAATGTTAGAACATCAAGAACACACGACTGAAAGAACATTAACAATGAAGTTACCATTGAAAGGATTAATATCCAGTTTTTGACAGCTGAATCTGGATTTTTTGACACTTCACTATATTTTAAAATAAAAACAGTTATTTCTAAATAAAGTACTCTGCTTAAAATAAATCAATGCTTACAAATAAAAACATTTATTAATATATTTTACTTATATTACAATTAAAAAATATTAACAAAGAATTTTTATAATTATTGTTATTAATATATTTATATTTATAATCAGAGCCGGCCCTACCACAGGGCGAACAGAGCAGCCGCTCCAGGCGCTAAGTTTTAGGTGGCGCCTCAGTGTTAAAGAAAAGTAAAGGGTATAAATTAGGGGCCACCAAAGGGGGCGCCATAATAGGATCTCGCTCCATCCTAAAACTTGCCTCGGGCCGNAGAATGGATTAATCAAATTCCCATAAAATTCTATGGTAAATTGATAATTGGTTAAATGAACAATTCAGATAGTGAACACAGTCTTGGAACAGATTATGTTTGTTAACTGATCACCCACTGTAATTTAATAAATTAAATTTTTTAATTTTTATATTTTTATACTATGTTTTACTTTATAAGAAAAAACTAGAGAAATTGAGTCATCCATTAATTATGTGTACTGTACAATTTTTCAGCCATTTTTGACTCCTGCCTCCCTGTTTTGTACAATGATATACTTTGGGTAAACCTCCTCTTTTAATTATATGGACAATAGTTTGTGGACCCCTCCTGACATTGAAGAAATGAATTTAAAATGTTCAGCAAATATCTTCTAAGTGATAGTTTATTCACATAACTAGAAAGTAGATTTACAAAATGCCACATATACCATTAAAAAAGTCCTCGTGGACAATACTACAACCCCTCCCCTATTGTGTACAATGATGTATTTTTTTGCAATCCCTCCTCTTCCCTAAAACAGTACACAAAATTAATAGACATTCCCTGTACTAGAATTAATTAATTCTATCATTAAAATCTTGAAGTACCTTTCTTTATAAGTATGTATTTGAAATAAATATATATATTACTGTATTTTATTTACTTCTAAATTATACATGCCATCATATATATGTATATATAATTATGGAAGTCAATATATTTTGACTATATATTATTAACTTAAATTATATACTGGTAATACTCATTTTAATGTGTAATACGGAATTTATATGAAACCTTAATATTTTTATTCTCATAAAATTAATAAAGTATTTAATTCAATGGTTATTAAATAACTGTGTATAAAAATTTATATTTTATTTATTACAGGTCCTCGTATTGAAAGAAAATGGGCACCACTACCTCCAGTTAAAACAACTACCACCACTACTACCACTACTACAAAATCACCACAGAGAGTAACAGAAAGAACCAGACCGAGGCCAAGGCCAACAGATGAACCAAAAGGCAGAAGGCCTCGTCCAACTCATAAACCGACTCCTAAAGTTCCTGACACATGCAACACAACTTTTGATGCAATATCTGTTATAAGAAGAGAAGTTTTTGCATTTAAAAACAGGGTAAATATTTTAAAATGTACTGCATTAAATATGAACTTAGAATTTTCATGTAATATTATCAAAAAATTTTTATCAATATTTCAACACAAGTTATGAATAATCCAGTATTTAGAAATATAAGGTGTAATAATTTGATTTATTTTTAATGAAGAGATTAATAATATAATTGAAATATATTATAAGTTACAGAATATATAGGAATATTTATAAGTTTTGATTTTACAATGTCAGCCTCATATAGAAATGTATACACATCACTCACATCTACATTCCTCATCTAATATTTTCTGTAAGTTGTTAGAATTAACAACTATATTTATTACTCTTCCTTTTAACTCATCAAAACTATTGAGTAGAAATTTTCTTCATATTTGTATGATTGTTCTGTTTTCCATACTTGGATCTCATTTTGTCTTACAAGATAAATGTGACTTCATCACTAAATACAATTCCTGATTATACAGTAAAATATCAAAAGTTGGACACTCTTTAACCTGGACATTCCACTAACTTGGACACTTTGGATCTTCACTACAGATGTTCAACTTAGTGAGGTTTTACTATATATCCTCTCTTCAGTTTTCTGTTATAATTTGCAACAGAATTAAAATAAATTTGTCTTATCTGTAGGTGATAAAACTTGCAAAAATTATAGCTTTTATACAAAAATCAATTACCTATGTATAGTATATTAATAAAAACACTAAAACAGCAAGAACTGTTTAAATATTTAATGTTTTTGATCAATAGATCTTCAGGATACTCTGATATTTAGACAATGAAAAGAATAAATTTAAGTTTGACCAACGAACACCTCACAGAACAAACACTAGAAGAAGCAACTTAAAATAATGAACACCGACTGGTCTTCCCTTGTCTTCAGGCAACAATTTGAAACTTTTCAGAGCACAGGAGACATCGACATTGATGCTCAACCCGGTATATACTGATCAGATAGTATTCCTCCAAACTTTGAAACTCTCCCTCGTAATTCCAGCCTTTTATTTTTCTGACAGAAGGAATTTTTTTATAGTATTTGCAAGACTGTTGGGTGAACACTCATTAAGTTTTGCATTGGTTTTTATTTTCAAAAAGGTGAGAAAGAAAGCAGCTAATGGAGTAACAAAAATCACATCTGAGAAATAAAGAACATTGAAGAGCTCATAATGGAACCTGAAACTGATCTGACGACAGAAGAACACCAAGAACTCTTGAATGAAAAACATCAAGAAACACAGTGAGTTATGTTTTCTTCTGAAAAAGAAGATTAATGCCGACATCTGCTATTAAAGATGTTTTGAAGAAGTGGGAGGATGTCAGAACAATGATCTTAGAATGGCATCCAAACCAGGTTGAGGTTAATAGGCTTAGGGATCTCTACAATGACAATGCTATTAATTACTTATGAAAAATCCTGAAGAGAGAAAAGCAATCGACATTGGACAGATTCTTTAACGCCACACAAACAGAAAAACATCACTGATAAAATGCAAGACTGTGGATATATGTATTTTTATTATTACATATAAATAAACATAATAAGAAAGTATATAATTTTTTATTTTTGGGGGTGTCCAGAACGGATTAATCAAATTCCCATAAAATTCTATGGTAAATTGATAATCGGTTAACAAACAATTCAGATAACGAAACGAACAGTCTTTGAGAACAGATTATGTTTGTTAACTGATCACCCACTGTAATTTAATAAATTAAATTTTTTAATTTTTATATTTTTATACTATGTTTTACTTTATAAGAAAAAACTAGAGAAATTGAGTCATCCATTAATTATGTGTACTGTACAATTTTTCAGCCATTTTTGACTCCTGCCTCCCTGTTTTGTACAATGATATACTTTGGGTAAACCTCCTCTTTTAATTATATGGACAATAGTTTGTGGACCCCTCCTGACATTGAAGAAATGAATTTAAAATGTTCAGCAAATATCTTCTAAGTGATAGTTTATTCACATAACTAGAAAGTAGATTTACAAAATGCCACATATACCATTAAAAAAGTCCTCGTGGACAATACTACAACCCCTCCCCTATTGTGTACAATGATGTATTTTTTTGCAATCCCTCCTCTTCCCTAAAACAGTACACAAAATTAATAGACATTCCCTGTACTAGAATTAATTAATTCTATCATTAAAATCTTGAAGTACCTTTCTTTATAAGTATGTATTTGAAATAAATATATATATTACTGTATTTTATTTACTTCTAAATTATACATGCCATCATATATATGTATATATAATTATGGAAGTCAATATATTTTGACTATATATTATTAACTTAAATTATATACTGGTAATACTCATTTTAATGTGTAATACGGAATTTATATGAAACCTTAATATTTTTATTCTCATAAAATTAATAAAGTATTTAATTCAATGGTTATTAAATAACTGTGTATAAAAATTTATATTTTATTTATTACAGGTCCTCGTATTGAAAGAAAATGGGCACCACTACCTCCAGTTAAAACAACTACCACCACTACTACCACTACTACAAAATCACCACAGAGAGTAACAGAAAGAACCAGACCGAGGCCAAGGCCAACAGATGAACCAAAAGGCAGAAGGCCTCGTCCAACTCATAAACCGACTCCTAAAGTTCCTGACACATGCAACACAACTTTTGATGCAATATCTGTTATAAGAAGAGAAGTTTTTGCATTTAAAAACAGGGTAAATATTTTAAAATGTACTGCATTAAATATGAACTTAGAATTTTCATGTAATATTATCAAAAAATTTTTATCAATATTTCAACACAAGTTATGAATAATCCAGTATTTAGAAATATAAGGTGTAATAATTTGATTTATTTTTAATGAAGAGATTAATAATATAATTGAAATATATTATAAGTTACAGAATATATAGGAATATTTATAAGTTTTGATTTTACAATGTCAGCCTCATATAGAAATGTATACACATCACTCACATCTACATTCCTCATCTAATATTTTCTGTAAGTTGTTAGAATTAACAACTATATTTATTACTCTTCCTTTTAACTCATCAAAACTATTGAGTAGAAATTTTCTTCATATTTGTATGATTGTTCTGTTTTCCATACTTGGATCTCATTTTGTCTTACAAGATAAATGTGACTTCATCACTAAATACAATTCCTGATTATACAGTAAAATATCAAAAGTTGGACACTCTTTAACCTGGACATTCCACTAACTTGGACACTTTGGATCTTCACTACAGATGTTCAACTTAGTGAGGTTTTACTATATATCCTCTCTTCAGTTTTCTGTTATAATTTGCAACAGAATTAAAATAAATTTGTCTTATCTGTAGGTGATAAAACTTGCAAAAATTATAGCTTTTATACAAAAATCAATTACCTATGTATAGTATATTAATAAAAACACTAAAACAGCAAGAACTGTTTAAATATTTAATGTTTTTGATCAATAGATCTTCAGGATACTCTGATATTTAGACAATGAAAAGAATAAATTGAAAATGAACATTTAAAATAAAAACTGTAAATGGAAAAATAAAATATACATCCTTACAGTAACTTAGTTAAACAAATAAAATAACTCATCTACTATAATTAAATATATAATTAACAGAATGTTAATACTAGCTAAAAAAATCATAACTACTAAAATAAAATATAAGTGAACTATGATTTTGCTGAATTGAACAAAATGAACTTCCAAGAATTAGGAGAGATTCTGAGTTTTGCATTCAAGCAGGCTCCTCTTAGTGTTTCTGATTAAATATTTCAATTTGCTTTATTGTAGCAGCATAAACAATGGACATTACATTTCTGTAAATTTAGCTATTTCCCAAAGAATTTGAGTGTTAATGAGTGTTAGCAAAGCAGACATTATCAATCCAACCTGTCTAAGTGAGTGTAAATACACCACTATAACTCTCCTCTTATCCACTATAATGCAGGTTAAGAAACTTTCCAACTCAGTGCTCAGTAAGATTTTATCTTTCTTGAGATGTATATAATACAGTCCTAATGTTTCCCTATTTTATTTGCATTTATAAAAATGCATAAGGAAGATAAGCAGTTTGACTCATGCTAGAGAAATGTAGGTCTTCAATCTTCTTACTAGAAAAAAGTTTAGTCTTTTATCACTATTATGTTGCTATTGTATTGCTTCTGTGTTTCTAGTCCAGCATAATTTGTTGAAGAAATCAATAATATTAATCTAATGGAAGATGAGACAGCCATGACCCTTTGACTACAAATATGTACCCTTTTATTAACCTTTGACCTTGTCCTGATGTTTTACTGGACTTTCTCCTACCTGTTCCTGATGTAGAGAAATTCCTAGATAACATCACACAGTTGAAAAATTAAGTTTGCTTACTTCCTTCTTTCTCGTTTGTTTTTAATAGCAGAAAAGAGGACATCTATGAGAAGTCCTGTAGCAGGAGCTCTTTTTGAACTGGTAGTGAGAAAACTAGAAAAATCCACTCATTTCAACTTTGCAGCATATTGGTTCTTATAGTCAACATATATGAACAATATTTTCATAATGTGGAGAAGCACTAATAACATTAAAAATGTCATTAACATCATTAATCACAACTCCTTTGGTCTTCACTTAATTTGGAACAAAATAATAAAGCTTCCATCCATTCCCTTGGTCTTGCAGAATGAATCAATTTACACTAGTGTCTACATTAAACTGACTAACATCCTTATTACATCCCAGCAACTGTCACAGCCTTTTCTGTTATAAGTCATCAGCTTTTTGGGCTCTGATTAAATAAGCACACAGACATACATATACACTATACTAAAACTGAGGATACGTTACTTATATAGCAGTGGCGTGCCGTCATTGGAAGTGGTGGAAGCTCCACTTCCCTTGTATTTTCTAAAAAATAAATATGTATTAATTTTAATTATATGAAAATAATCACACAATATTTTATTATAACCGCATTATGTATCTTATTCTCTTGTTATATCTTATATTCTTATTACAAATTTCTATACTACATGTGAAAAAAAAAAAAAATTGCTATAACTACCAAGACTGTCTCTGATTCTATCCATGAGATTGGTAGGGAGCAATTTTAACTAGGTGGATTGTTTTAATATTTAAAAAGTAAAGAATATTTTATGTTATTTTTATGTACGTTTCTTCACAAAACTATATTTAATTATAATTTTCTTTAAAAGTATATTCATACAATTGAATATTTTGTACCAGGTATGTATAATTGTATATCCATCACACATTTTATTTTAACAAGTAAGTTTTTATAATTTTAGTTTTTAATTTTAGCCCTTATATCGTGGTTAGCGATTCAGAATGTAATTGTGATATTGAAAATTTATTTTAAAAAAGTTTTGGCTTAAGACCATATAATGAAAAAGAAAACATTATTAAAAGAGAAAGACCAATGCCTAAATTAAATATAAATACATCAACAAAAAAATTTGTTCGACATTTTCACGATAAAATTTATGAAGATATAAAATGGCTCTGTGGATGCATAAAAATACAAAAATTGTTTTGTTGGCCTTGCCTATTATTTTAAAATGAAATTAGTGTGTGGAATAAGAATGGCTTTGACGATTTAAATAATTTAAGTAAAGCTGGCAAAAGACACGAAAATTGTAAATTTTGCATCGATTCTTTCTTAAAATTGAAGCAATTTGGAAATCAAAGCAGAATAGAATTTAACATTAGTAAACAATATAAAATAAATATTGAAAATTATAACAAAGTTACAGCTAATAGATATATTATATTTAAATTAGTAGATGTTATCGAAACAAAAATTTGCATTTAGCGAGTATAGGGAATCTATTGAATCTAATATAACAGATGTAATTATATTGAACTTGCTTATTTATTAAGTGTGTTAGATAATCTATTAATTAAAAATACATTTAAAGAAGTCTAGGGTTTTTACTGGCTTATTGAACAAACAAATACGAATGTACTGTACCCTAGACCCTGGAAGTCGGCTTATTACAGAAACACAGCTTCCCTGTCATCAAATGTCATGGCATGCCACTGTTATATAGGATATAACAGCAGAAACTTTGTTTAGAGATTATAAGAACACAGATATGGCACTCAGATCAGTCAGTATAATAATGTACTAGCTTGTTTTGTTAGTACTGAAGAAACAGTGATTTTTTGGAAAGAGCTAAGGTTATCAGAAATGTAATGTCCTCTGCGTTGTTGCCATTACAAAACAAATTAAAACATTTAATCAAGATCTAAGAGGAGCCAATTTGAATGAAAAGGCTAAGAATTCCTTTCTAATTCTTGGAAGTTTGTTTTTTCCAATTCTATGAAACTATACCCCACTTAAATGTTATTTTAGTAGTATGAATGTTTTAATTTTGCTAGTATTAATATTTTGTTAATTATATATTTCATTTGTTTGATTACTATATATATGTACTGTACATATACATGTATATTTTATTTTATTTCCTTTGTTCTATTTACAGTTAATAGGTTCATGTTCATTATCAATTTGTTCTTAACACTTAAATAAGCAAAAATCCAGCTTGTGAAACAATGTTGGAGAAAAAACAAATGTTTTCAATTGCTTTTAGTAATCACAATCATCCTTAAGTTAAAGAATTTATTCAGAAACATATATCAGACTAGAATGTATGATGGAATATAATAATTTAAAATATAAAACAAATGCCTGGTTTGCCATCAGATGTCATTTTTGGAACTAAAACAATCTTTTGCAGAGACAACCTTTTATTAAATATTTAAACAATTCTTATGTTTTGGTGTTTTTATTAATATATTATAGGCTATATATAATTTTTCATTAGCTGCACCTTATGATTAACTGAAATACATCAGTCAGCTTGCTTTCATGATTAAGTTTTATAGACTGCTAAAATATCTGTCAGATCCATTTAGTTGCTTTATCAGAGATAATGACTGAAAAGATTATTATTGCAACCTATTTCAAACCACATATGTAGTAGAATTCTGATTCCCTAAGGTAATGTGGAACAATGCTACCTCATGTAACTAAAAACTTGGATAAAACAGATGGCTACTACTATTTTGGATTAAAAATGATAAATATCAAAGAATGGTATCACTTTTAAACCTCTTTTATATCTTAATGAATTTAATCGCATATAAGAACAATATTTTGTATATAATTTATTACAGCTAACACATACAGTACAATAGTCTTAAGAATAAAAATTTATATTTGATAAAATGGCCAGGATGGATAAAGCTAAATTCACAAAATAAAAGACTATATTATAAAATAGTCTTCTTTTGTCCTTTTCTCACACCTTAGGAAATAACAATCATATGGTAAAGTTGGCATTTATTTACAGGTATTTCATCTGCTTCAGTATGCAAAACGTTACATAACAACTTCAGTTTCATTCATAACAACTTTGTTTTAATTGCTTTAATAGAGTGTATTATTAAAATATAGAATGTTTTCGAATTTTTAAATAAATCAGCCCATATTCAGTGAGTAAAAATAAGCCAAATTTTGCATTTTTGGGCTATAATTTCAATATATTTGATTGAATCTAATATAATTTGTACTACAATTCAGTCAAGATAAAATTGTAAATTATTATGCTTCTTATTTTATGCATTTCTAACATTTTATCGTTATTTGTAGAAGCTTACCATTGATTATCTTTGTAAAATAAAAAGTTTTTGTGCTTCTGTTTGCAATTTCTAATTCTCTGATTCAGTGTTGCTACCTTTTCAAAATTGCTAACCTGAACATTTTAAAATTAGGATGTATACTGAGGCATGCACATTGTAGGAAAACGTACAAGGAATGAGCAATGTTGTTTTACAGTCAAGAACTGAACAATGTGCATGCTAGTTTTAAACCAGTTAGGGACTTGTCTGAGTGAAAATCCGCCTGATGGCACTGGTTACTCTGATTCAACTTTATATATTTAATATTAAAGTATATAATGATAAAAAATTAGGCTGATTAATTTAAAACTCATTATTCATTTCTTATATTAGTATTTTTAGACAGACTTATAATTTTTAAATTAAATTCTTTCATTACAGTATTTTTGGCGAATGGGTGAAAAAGGTCTACATAAAGATTATCCTGTTGCCATAGATCGTTTTTGGTATAATTTGCCTCCAGAGCTACAACATGTTGATGCAGTTTATGAAAGATCTATTGATACCAAAATAATGTTTTTCTCAGGTAGATTTACATAAAAATAATTCATTATAAAAAACTGAATTTATTTTTCTATAAAGTTACTTTCCTTCTCTGAACACCTAATATAAGTTAACACATTTATTAAAAGTGGTTATAATAATATGCAGTAGAATCTCATTTTAATAAATCATGGAACAATGGAATTTTTTCCAGGTCCCATCAAATCAATATAATTTTACCTCTTTTTAGCACGTTCATAACTTGGAATAACAGATTTTTTCTAGCATAATCATTTATAAACTTTGCGTTTTTCAATGTTTAGTTAATATTTGGGTGTTTCTGGGAATTTATAGAATTTGATGCTATACTTGTGTTACATCTGCGATATGTACAACTGAAAAATTGTATGAATAGAGTCAGTAGGCTGATACAGTTGAGGAGGAGCCATCTAGTGAACATTCTGACACTGGTTCAAGTGTAATGCTGAAATTTAGCAAGGCTATTGAGTCTTTTCAAGTTGTGAAGACCCTCTTGATGAGTTTTAGCATAAATGAACAGGCTGTACATGACATTACTAATATTAAATTAATGATTGTTGTATTCAATAAGCAGAAAAGCAGATGGCATCAAAACAAACCAAGATAAACAATTTTTTTAAACACATCATGAATTCAAGTGAAGTGCTAATGAGTATATATAATTTGCTTCTTATTGCTTATAATATATACAGTATCTGTCAGCTTTGTCGTACACACTTATGGCAGAACATATGATTTTGTAACATATGTATTTCTATAGAATAAAGGATAGAGATCTCTGAGACTGAATAATTTCAAGTATCGGTATTTCTTATATGCAGGAAGTTAAAAAAACAGAAACTTTTTCAATAATGGATATTTTTCTGGGTGTGCAGAAATCTGTTCTTTGTTATATAATGGATTCTCGGAACAACAGATGATTTTTGGCAGCCCAAGTGATCTGTTAAAACAAGATTCTACTGTAATTACTTATTAAAAGTTTTTCCATTGACTACAATTAAATGTTATAATAATAAATAATTTGTGTTTATGATAGGTAACAAATATTGGTTGTTTAATGCTAACACTCCAGAAGAAGGATATCCAAGACCTGTTACAGATTTGGGGCTTCCACCTGATTTAAAAAAAATAGATGCAGCTATGGTTTGGGGTCATAATGGTAAAACCTATTTTTTTAGTGGAAAGAAATATTGGAGATATGAAGAATTTGAAGGACGTGTAGATTCAGACTATCCTAGAGATATGGCTGTTTGGGCAGGAATACCTTACAATATTGATGCTGCTTTCCAATGGACAGATGGTAAGAATATAAATTATAGTATATTTCACAGTTTTATTATTTATGAGTGAATATTAAGGGTAATTTAAAATAACTTATATGGAGATGATAATAGAAGAAAACAAAATTGATATTAATTATGAATATTGTTTTAAAATAAACATAATATTCAAAAATTAATAAATAAATAATTACAGAAGTTTTAAAATAGCATTCTGCCATTTAAATAATTAATAATATTAATTAATTATTATATAATTAATATTAATTAATTATTATATAATTAATTAATACTTTTGCACAAAATCTTTGTGCTGCAATGCATTATAGATACTGTTGTTCTTTGCATACACTAGGTCACAAAAGTACCCAAACACCTATAAATGGAAGAGTTTTTAGTTATCACTCATTTCTTACTTGAAATAGGAAAAAATAAATGACAGATGTAAAATCTTTAGACTTTTTTACACTAGAAAAAAGTATTTACATGTACAAAAACATTCATCAAAAAGAGAAATATACTTTTATTTAAAATTATGAAAATTTTCACATCACAAAAGTATTCAGACATAAGAAATAAATAAAGATAAAACAAAATATTTTATACATTTAAGAACAAGTTGAGCCTCCTTTTGCTCTGATAACAACTAGGTATTGATTCATCCAAATTTTTATAACTTTTGTCTATTAAATTCAAAACTCTGATGATGTTTTTAAGATCAGTTTTGTTTGTTATTGATTTTGTTCTGATTGTTTGTTCAATGTAATCTTATAAATGCTCAATTGAGTTGAGATCAGATGGTTGTAAAAGCCAAGGAAGCACTTTTATACAATGCACATTAAGAAACTGACTGATTTTCAAAGTGTGCTTTGGATCATTGTCATGCTGGAAAACAAACTTTTGATATTTTAACCTTATCGTGACTTTAATTTCTTTACTGATTTCTGAACATTGTTATTTATAATATACTTATACACATATTAATTCATTATTCCATCAACAAATTTCAGAGTTCCAGCACTTTTTGCAGATATACAACTCCAAATAGCAGTAAACTGTCAGCCCACTAGTCCACAACTCTGGCAAGCGGTCTTCATACCCTGAACACTGGGAGTTCGGTCATGGGTTTGTGCCTCGCTTGGACGGGCTGGCCACGTGGAGTTTTCCAAGTTTTCTCCATGTCTGTAACGCGTAAATAGGGACCAGTTTCCCTTAAAAAGACCTCCTGGAAGGCATCCCCTAGACAGATCACCCAAGTGTTGCATTGCCATAACTTAACTAACAAACAAACTAACTAACTAACTAAACTGTCTCCACATTTCACTGTAGAGATCAGATTTTTCATTTTTAAAAATTCTCCAGCTTTTCTCCATACTTTCAGGCAATCATTTGAACTAAACACATTGGATCATCTGACCTCAAAACTGATTTTGTATAAAACTCTTTTGCAAGATGTAAATCTCTTTGACAACAATTTTGTATAAAACACCTTTACTGCTGGTTTTTTCATAGCCATAATATCTTTATAGCTACTTGCTTTTAGAGATTTTCTGACAGTTCTGCAGATATATGTATGCCATATTCTACAGAAGCCTCAACAGCAAGCTTAGAAGCAATTATTTGTGGATTTTTCTTCACTTTTCTGACAATGACACATCTCTGTCTCGAGGTAAATATTTCAGGACATCCATTTCGAGCCTTATTAATTACACTATTTGTCATAAGGAATTTCATAATGGATACCATTATGAAATTCCTTATGATACCAAAATCTTCAAACTTGGATACCAAAATCTTCAAACTTGTTATACTAAAATAAATATTTACATGTGCAAAAAATATTGATCAAAAACAAAAATACAGTTTTATTTCAAACTGTGAAAATTTTCACATCACAAAAGTACCCAGACAAAGGAAATAAATGATGGAAAGTGTCAGATCATTTGCTTAAAAACATATTTACAACAATTTGCAACAACAAATGAGTATTTGTTTCATATTTTGTCATTGTGAACAATGAAAACATGCAAATTAACCATTGTTATTAAAGGACTTATTATTAAGGAATAGCAAAAGGGAAAATCTGTGTGAAACCTTGCAGAACAGTTTTACATTCCAAAATCCACAATTCAAGACAGGAATTTCATAATGGATACCATTATGAAATTCCTGTCTTGAATTGTGGATTTTGGAATGTAAAACTGTTCTGCAAGGTTTCACACAGATTTTCCCTTTTGCTATTCCTTAATAATAAGTCCTTTAATAACAATGGTTAATTTGCATGTTTTCATTGTTCACAATGACAAAATATGAAACAAATACTCATTTGTTGTTGCAAATTGTTGTAAATATGTTTTTAAGCAAATGATCTGACACTTTCCATCATTTATTTCCTTTGTCTGGGTACTTTTGTGATGTGAAAATTTTCACAGTTTGAAATAAAACTGTATTTTTGTTTTTGATCAATATTTTTTGCACATGTAAATATTTATTTTAGTATAACAAGTTTGAAGATTTTGCATCTGTTATTACTGTTTTTCTATTTCAAGCAAGAAATGAGTTATAACTAAAAAAAATGCTTCCATTTTATAGGTGTTTGGATACTTTTGTGACCTAGTGTATATTGTCTTGTAGACAACAGAAGATAGAACTTTGTTCTTTCAATCTGTAGCAAATAGCAGAAGAGAGATAGCACTTTACTTATCAGATTTTTGATAAGTAAAGTGCTATTTCTCTTCTTGTAATTTGTTGAAATGAATTATTTTTCACAAATTCTTCCTTACTATCTTCTTTATAAATAAATTCAAATTTTAAAATTTTGATAAAATGTTTTCTCAGCGTAATTTCGTTTTCCTTTTTTATGTTTTGGAATACTAGAGTTAAAATTAATTTAAACTTTAATCCATAAACTGATTTTTAGAATAAAAATACATATATACAGTAGTATTTTTTTTTTTTAACAAAGTAAAACTTATATTTTGATCTGTTTTCAGGAAAGACATATTTTTTTAAAGGAAAATATTTTTGGAAATTTAACGATCTAAAAATGCACGTTGAAGATATTAAACCAACCGAAATAAGTAATTTTTGGTTTGGTTGTCCAAGCTCAAATGAAAAGTTACCAGATTATGATTTGATATATGGTGGAAGAGCAATCGCATCAATGCTCAGAGAATCCAAATGGTGCATAATTTTATTTCTACTAATAAAAGTTTTCAGTGATGCATTAAATAATCTATGATGTATCATTTAGATGAATATAATAATTATTTTAAAATTAATTGAAGACAGTGCCTCTGGCTAGCAAAATTATTTGTGTTTGTACGAACAAGTCAGCAAGGACGAAGATGAGATTGTTGTTGTGCCATTATAAAGTACTAAAATCAACTGTGATCACACCATATTATAGCAAAGATCTATAATATAAATTCGTAGATTTCTCATTTTCTGGATTATTAAGTGCTATGTACTTTAAATGGTGCTATCATTGAAATGTTGAATTTTTTTTACCTTAATTTAATAACAACAAATAGTTTTTTAATGTGCCGAATGAGAAAAAAATTATATAACTTTTGATTTTAAGAAGACAAATAATATTTTATATATATATTAAACTTGTGTTTATAGTTTGAAAATAGTATTATGAAAGAAATGATAAAAAATTGATATTTTTAAAGAAAATATCAATATTTAAGATATTAAATTTAATGAAAATCTGTGCAATAATAATTTAAATGTAGATAATTTGCTTCATTGTTAATTTTGACTAAGTTCGATAATTTGAACTACTTAAAAAAAAAAAATGATAATTTTTAATAACATTTCTTACAATTTTCAATAAATCATGCAATAATAAATTGTTTAAACTGTCATAAATAAGTTTTATACTTAAGGTTGATTGTAACATCTTTGGTTATGCATGCGATCGCCATCAAATGGTGCTAAAAATTTAATGCTTTTTCTATAAGAAAATCCTTTTCTAAAAATTCTTGAAAATAGAAGCAGATAGAAATAAACAGTATTTCATGTTAGAGTCCTAGTTAATTCTCTTAACTTACAGTTCAAAATTTTGATAATTGAATTCATTAATTTTCTATGACTTTAAAAATTCATAGAAAATTAATAAATTCAATTTTCAAAATTCTGCAAATCAAATAGAATTCTAATGCAAAGAACTGTTTGGTTCTATCTGTTTCCGTTTTCGAGAATTTTTGGAAAAGGATTTGCCCATAGAAAAAGCATTAAATTTTTAATGTCATCTGCTGGAGATTGCATGCCGTGATTCCATATTAGTTTGAACATAAATTATTGTTTTTAAGGTATTATCACAATAAACAAATTTGGAGACTTGGTATATACAATTTTATGTGAAAATTTTGTTCAAAGTTAAATAATAATATTTAGAATTTCACGAAATAATTTATCCACAGAATAACATGAACTGTAAGAAGTTAGTATGTTAATCAACATGTTAATGTAGTGTTTTAGTATCAAAAAGAAATATTTTAAGCATAAAATAATTTATATATAGAACTTAATATTATGTACTCACAGATTTAATGATGTTTTGAGTGCATAATGTTGAAGTTTTTAGAAAAGTTAAAGTTCTTTCTTTTATACAGTCGACCTCCCTATAACACTGTTGATAATTCCATTTTATATGAATTCCATGTTGTACAAGTCACTTAGATTTTAGAAATACGTGAGCCATTCACAGCCCGGCACACATATTTGTAAAATTTAAGTGACTCGTACAACATGGAATTCATATAAAATGGAATTATCAACAGTGTTATAGGGGTCGACTGTATATCATATGTAGAATTTATTACAGGAATTTAAGTAACCTGTCTATAAATTTTGTGAGAAGAAAGTGATGATATCACATTGTCACAATTTTATATTTCTTGTTATGTTTCACATATGCAACTCATCAAACTGAATCAGCCTAATGCTAATTTATCTTATGTTACTTTAGCGTATTCCCACATTTCAATTATGAAATTTTCTTGTTGTTTTTTAAATGTCAGTTTTCTAAATCTCATCATCTTTAATGTAACTTCATTCATTTTTAATCATTTTATGTTCATTTTGTTTAAAATGTTATTGAAACTTAGAAAACATAATGATCGAAAATGTAATGTTTGAATTGAATTAATTTTTATTTATATATTATTATTATGCTACCTCATTAGGAATTTTATAAAAGTTGTCTGTTTAAATATTTAAAAAATATGAAAGCGAGACAATTAAAAGTAAATTAAGAGAGGAAACCATTTTTAATTTATACAATAGTTGCATAACTAGATGTAGCTTCAAAATAATTCTTAAACTGCTATAATACATTATGTAAGTTATGTAAAACGAGTGGAGATTATGATTTGGTCGGAAACATTAAAAAAAGCCATTGTAATCTTTTCTGTGTATTGTTGTAAATTCAGTTCAAAAGTGGAAGCACAAGAATTATTCAATATTTAATAATATTGAAATCTAAAAATATATTAATTAAACATCTTAGTAACCTGAGAANACCATATAATGAAAAAGAAAACATTATTAAAAGAGAAAGACCAATGCCTAAATTAAATATAAATACATCAACAAAAAAATTTGTTCGACATTTTCACGATAAAATTTATGAAGATATAAAATGGCTCTGTGGATGCATAAAAATACAAAAATTGTTTTGTTGGCCTTGCCTATTATTTTAAAATGAAATTAGTGTGTGGAATAAGAATGGCTTTGACGATTTAAATAATTTAAGTAAAGCTGGCAAAAGACACGAAAATTGTAAATTTTGCATCGATTCTTTCTTAAAATTGAAGCAATTTGGAAATCAAAGCAGAATAGAATTTAACATTAGTAAACAATATAAAATAAATATTGAAAATTATAACAAAGTTACAGCTAATAGATATATTATATTTAAATTAGTAGATGTTATCGAAACAAAAATTTGCATTTAGCGAGTATAGGGAATCTATTGAATCTAATATAACAGATGTAATTATATTGAACTTGCTTATTTATTAAGTGTGTTAGATAATCTATTAATTAAAAATACATTTAAAGAAGTCTAGGGTTTTTACTGGCTTATTGAACAAACAAATACGAATGTACTGTACCCTAGACCCTGGAAGTCGGCTTATTACAGAAACACAGCTTCCCTGTCATCAAATGTCATGGCATGCCACTGTTATATAGGATATAACAGCAGAAACTTTGTTTAGAGATTATAAGAACACAGATATGGCACTCAGATCAGTCAGTATAATAATGTACTAGCTTGTTTTGTTAGTACTGAAGAAACAGTGATTTTTTGGAAAGAGCTAAGGTTATCAGAAATGTAATGTCCTCTGCGTTGTTGCCATTACAAAACAAATTAAAACATTTAATCAAGATCTAAGAGGAGCCAATTTGAATGAAAAGGCTAAGAATTCCTTTCTAATTCTTGGAAGTTTGTTTTTTCCAATTCTATGAAACTATACCCCACTTAAATGTTATTTTAGTAGTATGAATGTTTTAATTTTGCTAGTATTAATATTTTGTTAATTATATATTTCATTTGTTTGATTACTATATATATGTACTGTACATATACATGTATATTTTATTTTATTTCCTTTGTTCTATTTACAGTTAATAGGTTCATGTTCATTATCAATTTGTTCTTAACACTTAAATAAGCAAAAATCCAGCTTGTGAAACAATGTTGGAGAAAAAACAAATGTTTTCAATTGCTTTTAGTAATCACAATCATCCTTAAGTTAAAGAATTTATTCAGAAACATATATCAGACTAGAATGTATGATGGAATATAATAATTTAAAATATAAAACAAATGCCTGGTTTGCCATCAGATGTCATTTTTGGAACTAAAACAATCTTTTGCAGAGACAACCTTTTATTAAATATTTAAACAATTCTTATGTTTTGGTGTTTTTATTAATATATTATAGGCTATATATAATTTTTCATTAGCTGCACCTTATGATTAACTGAAATACATCAGTCAGCTTGCTTTCATGATTAAGTTTTATAGACTGCTAAAATATCTGTCAGATCCATTTAGTTGCTTTATCAGAGATAATGACTGAAAAGATTATTATTGCAACCTATTTCAAACCACATATGTAGTAGAATTCTGATTCCCTAAGGTAATGTGGAACAATGCTACCTCATGTAACTAAAAACTTGGATAAAACAGATGGCTACTACTATTTTGGATTAAAAATGATAAATATCAAAGAATGGTATCACTTTTAAACCTCTTTTATATCTTAATGAATTTAATCGCATATAAGAACAATATTTTGTATATAATTTATTACAGCTAACACATACAGTACAATAGTCTTAAGAATAAAAATTTATATTTGATAAAATGGCCAGGATGGATAAAGCTAAATTCACAAAATAAAAGACTATATTATAAAATAGTCTTCTTTTGTCCTTTTCTCACACCTTAGGAAATAACAATCATATGGTAAAGTTGGCATTTATTTACAGGTATTTCATCTGCTTCAGTATGCAAAACGTTACATAACAACTTCAGTTTCATTCATAACAACTTTGTTTTAATTGCTTTAATAGAGTGTATTATTAAAATATAGAATGTTTTCGAATTTTTAAATAAATCAGCCCATATTCAGTGAGTAAAAATAAGCCAAATTTTGCATTTTTGGGCTATAATTTCAATATATTTGATTGAATCTAATATAATTTGTACTACAATTCAGTCAAGATAAAATTGTAAATTATTATGCTTCTTATTTTATGCATTTCTAACATTTTATCGTTATTTGTAGAAGCTTACCATTGATTATCTTTGTAAAATAAAAAGTTTTTGTGCTTCTGTTTGCAATTTCTAATTCTCTGATTCAGTGTTGCTACCTTTTCAAAATTGCTAACCTGAACATTTTAAAATTAGGATGTATACTGAGGCATGCACATTGTAGGAAAACGTACAAGGAATGAGCAATGTTGTTTTACAGTCAAGAACTGAACAATGTGCATGCTAGTTTTAAACCAGTTAGGGACTTGTCTGAGTGAAAATCCGCCTGATGGCACTGGTTACTCTGATTCAACTTTATATATTTAATATTAAAGTATATAATGATAAAAAATTAGGCTGATTAATTTAAAACTCATTATTCATTTCTTATATTAGTATTTTTAGACAGACTTATAATTTTTAAATTAAATTCTTTCATTACAGTATTTTTGGCGAATGGGTGAAAAAGGTCTACATAAAGATTATCCTGTTGCCATAGATCGTTTTTGGTATAATTTGCCTCCAGAGCTACAACATGTTGATGCAGTTTATGAAAGATCTATTGATACCAAAATAATGTTTTTCTCAGGTAGATTTACATAAAAATAATTCATTATAAAAAACTGAATTTATTTTTCTATAAAGTTACTTTCCTTCTCTGAACACCTAATATAAGTTAACACATTTATTAAAAGTGGTTATAATAATATGCAGTAGAATCTCATTTTAATAAATCATGGAACAATGGAATTTTTTCCAGGTCCCATCAAATCAATATAATTTTACCTCTTTTTAGCACGTTCATAACTTGGAATAACAGATTTTTTCTAGCATAATCATTTATAAACTTTGCGTTTTTCAATGTTTAGTTAATATTTGGGTGTTTCTGGGAATTTATAGAATTTGATGCTATACTTGTGTTACATCTGCGATATGTACAACTGAAAAATTGTATGAATAGAGTCAGTAGGCTGATACAGTTGAGGAGGAGCCATCTAGTGAACATTCTGACACTGGTTCAAGTGTAATGCTGAAATTTAGCAAGGCTATTGAGTCTTTTCAAGTTGTGAAGACCCTCTTGATGAGTTTTAGCATAAATGAACAGGCTGTACATGACATTACTAATATTAAATTAATGATTGTTGTATTCAATAAGCAGAAAAGCAGATGGCATCAAAACAAACCAAGATAAACAATTTTTTTAAACACATCATGAATTCAAGTGAAGTGCTAATGAGTATATATAATTTGCTTCTTATTGCTTATAATATATACAGTATCTGTCAGCTTTGTCGTACACACTTATGGCAGAACATATGATTTTGTAACATATGTATTTCTATAGAATAAAGGATAGAGATCTCTGAGACTGAATAATTTCAAGTATCGGTATTTCTTATATGCAGGAAGTTAAAAAAACAGAAACTTTTTCAATAATGGATATTTTTCTGGGTGTGCAGAAATCTGTTCTTTGTTATATAATGGATTCTCGGAACAACAGATGATTTTTGGCAGCCCAAGTGATCTGTTAAAACAAGATTCTACTGTAATTACTTATTAAAAGTTTTTCCATTGACTACAATTAAATGTTATAATAATAAATAATTTGTGTTTATGATAGGTAACAAATATTGGTTGTTTAATGCTAACACTCCAGAAGAAGGATATCCAAGACCTGTTACAGATTTGGGGCTTCCACCTGATTTAAAAAAAATAGATGCAGCTATGGTTTGGGGTCATAATGGTAAAACCTATTTTTTTAGTGGAAAGAAATATTGGAGATATGAAGAATTTGAAGGACGTGTAGATTCAGACTATCCTAGAGATATGGCTGTTTGGGCAGGAATACCTTACAATATTGATGCTGCTTTCCAATGGACAGATGGTAAGAATATAAATTATAGTATATTTCACAGTTTTATTATTTATGAGTGAATATTAAGGGTAATTTAAAATAACTTATATGGAGATGATAATAGAAGAAAACAAAATTGATATTAATTATGAATATTGTTTTAAAATAAACATAATATTCAAAAATTAATAAATAAATAATTACAGAAGTTTTAAAATAGCATTCTGCCATTTAAATAATTAATAATATTAATTAATTATTATATAATTAATATTAATTAATTATTATATAATTAATTAATACTTTTGCACAAAATCTTTGTGCTGCAATGCATTATAGATACTGTTGTTCTTTGCATACACTAGGTCACAAAAGTACCCAAACACCTATAAATGGAAGAGTTTTTAGTTATCACTCATTTCTTACTTGAAATAGGAAAAAATAAATGACAGATGTAAAATCTTTAGACTTTTTTACACTAGAAAAAAGTATTTACATGTACAAAAACATTCATCAAAAAGAGAAATATACTTTTATTTAAAATTATGAAAATTTTCACATCACAAAAGTATTCAGACATAAGAAATAAATAAAGATAAAACAAAATATTTTATACATTTAAGAACAAGTTGAGCCTCCTTTTGCTCTGATAACAACTAGGTATTGATTCATCCAAATTTTTATAACTTTTGTCTATTAAATTCAAAACTCTGATGATGTTTTTAAGATCAGTTTTGTTTGTTATTGATTTTGTTCTGATTGTTTGTTCAATGTAATCTTATAAATGCTCAATTGAGTTGAGATCAGATGGTTGTAAAAGCCAAGGAAGCACTTTTATACAATGCACATTAAGAAACTGACTGATTTTCAAAGTGTGCTTTGGATCATTGTCATGCTGGAAAACAAACTTTTGATATTTTAACCTTATCGTGACTTTAATTTCTTTACTGATTTCTGAACATTGTTATTTATAATATACTTATACACATATTAATTCATTATTCCATCAACAAATTTCAGAGTTCCAGCACTTTTTGCAGATATACAACTCCAAATAGCAGTAAACTGTCAGCCCACTAGTCCACAACTCTGGCAAGCGGTCTTCATACCCTGAACACTGGGAGTTCGGTCATGGGTTTGTGCCTCGCTTGGACGGGCTGGCCACGTGGAGTTTTCCAAGTTTTCTCCATGTCTGTAACGCGTAAATAGGGACCAGTTTCCCTTAAAAAGACCTCCTGGAAGGCATCCCCTAGACAGATCACCCAAGTGTTGCATTGCCATAACTTAACTAACAAACAAACTAACTAACTAACTAAACTGTCTCCACATTTCACTGTAGAGATCAGATTTTTCATTTTTAAAAATTCTCCAGCTTTTCTCCATACTTTCAGGCAATCATTTGAACTAAACACATTGGATCATCTGACCTCAAAACTGATTTTGTATAAAACTCTTTTGCAAGATGTAAATCTCTTTGACAACAATTTTGTATAAAACACCTTTACTGCTGGTTTTTTCATAGCCATAATATCTTTATAGCTACTTGCTTTTAGAGATTTTCTGACAGTTCTGCAGATATATGTATGCCATATTCTACAGAAGCCTCAACAGCAAGCTTAGAAGCAATTATTTGTGGATTTTTCTTCACTTTTCTGACAATGACACATCTCTGTCTCGAGGTAAATATTTCAGGACATCCATTTCGAGCCTTATTAATTACACTATTTGTCATAAGGAATTTCATAATGGATACCATTATGAAATTCCTTATGATACCAAAATCTTCAAACTTGGATACCAAAATCTTCAAACTTGTTATACTAAAATAAATATTTACATGTGCAAAAAATATTGATCAAAAACAAAAATACAGTTTTATTTCAAACTGTGAAAATTTTCACATCACAAAAGTACCCAGACAAAGGAAATAAATGATGGAAAGTGTCAGATCATTTGCTTAAAAACATATTTACAACAATTTGCAACAACAAATGAGTATTTGTTTCATATTTTGTCATTGTGAACAATGAAAACATGCAAATTAACCATTGTTATTAAAGGACTTATTATTAAGGAATAGCAAAAGGGAAAATCTGTGTGAAACCTTGCAGAACAGTTTTACATTCCAAAATCCACAATTCAAGACAGGAATTTCATAATGGATACCATTATGAAATTCCTGTCTTGAATTGTGGATTTTGGAATGTAAAACTGTTCTGCAAGGTTTCACACAGATTTTCCCTTTTGCTATTCCTTAATAATAAGTCCTTTAATAACAATGGTTAATTTGCATGTTTTCATTGTTCACAATGACAAAATATGAAACAAATACTCATTTGTTGTTGCAAATTGTTGTAAATATGTTTTTAAGCAAATGATCTGACACTTTCCATCATTTATTTCCTTTGTCTGGGTACTTTTGTGATGTGAAAATTTTCACAGTTTGAAATAAAACTGTATTTTTGTTTTTGATCAATATTTTTTGCACATGTAAATATTTATTTTAGTATAACAAGTTTGAAGATTTTGCATCTGTTATTACTGTTTTTCTATTTCAAGCAAGAAATGAGTTATAACTAAAAAAAATGCTTCCATTTTATAGGTGTTTGGATACTTTTGTGACCTAGTGTATATTGTCTTGTAGACAACAGAAGATAGAACTTTGTTCTTTCAATCTGTAGCAAATAGCAGAAGAGAGATAGCACTTTACTTATCAGATTTTTGATAAGTAAAGTGCTATTTCTCTTCTTGTAATTTGTTGAAATGAATTATTTTTCACAAATTCTTCCTTACTATCTTCTTTATAAATAAATTCAAATTTTAAAATTTTGATAAAATGTTTTCTCAGCGTAATTTCGTTTTCCTTTTTTATGTTTTGGAATACTAGAGTTAAAATTAATTTAAACTTTAATCCATAAACTGATTTTTAGAATAAAAATACATATATACAGTAGTATTTTTTTTTTTTAACAAAGTAAAACTTATATTTTGATCTGTTTTCAGGAAAGACATATTTTTTTAAAGGAAAATATTTTTGGAAATTTAACGATCTAAAAATGCACGTTGAAGATATTAAACCAACCGAAATAAGTAATTTTTGGTTTGGTTGTCCAAGCTCAAATGAAAAGTTACCAGATTATGATTTGATATATGGTGGAAGAGCAATCGCATCAATGCTCAGAGAATCCAAATGGTGCATAATTTTATTTCTACTAATAAAAGTTTTCAGTGATGCATTAAATAATCTATGATGTATCATTTAGATGAATATAATAATTATTTTAAAATTAATTGAAGACAGTGCCTCTGGCTAGCAAAATTATTTGTGTTTGTACGAACAAGTCAGCAAGGACGAAGATGAGATTGTTGTTGTGCCATTATAAAGTACTAAAATCAACTGTGATCACACCATATTATAGCAAAGATCTATAATATAAATTCGTAGATTTCTCATTTTCTGGATTATTAAGTGCTATGTACTTTAAATGGTGCTATCATTGAAATGTTGAATTTTTTTTACCTTAATTTAATAACAACAAATAGTTTTTTAATGTGCCGAATGAGAAAAAAATTATATAACTTTTGATTTTAAGAAGACAAATAATATTTTATATATATATTAAACTTGTGTTTATAGTTTGAAAATAGTATTATGAAAGAAATGATAAAAAATTGATATTTTTAAAGAAAATATCAATATTTAAGATATTAAATTTAATGAAAATCTGTGCAATAATAATTTAAATGTAGATAATTTGCTTCATTGTTAATTTTGACTAAGTTCGATAATTTGAACTACTTAAAAAAAAAAAATGATAATTTTTAATAACATTTCTTACAATTTTCAATAAATCATGCAATAATAAATTGTTTAAACTGTCATAAATAAGTTTTATACTTAAGGTTGATTGTAACATCTTTGGTTATGCATGCGATCGCCATCAAATGGTGCTAAAAATTTAATGCTTTTTCTATAAGAAAATCCTTTTCTAAAAATTCTTGAAAATAGAAGCAGATAGAAATAAACAGTATTTCATGTTAGAGTCCTAGTTAATTCTCTTAACTTACAGTTCAAAATTTTGATAATTGAATTCATTAATTTTCTATGACTTTAAAAATTCATAGAAAATTAATAAATTCAATTTTCAAAATTCTGCAAATCAAATAGAATTCTAATGCAAAGAACTGTTTGGTTCTATCTGTTTCCGTTTTCGAGAATTTTTGGAAAAGGATTTGCCCATAGAAAAAGCATTAAATTTTTAATGTCATCTGCTGGAGATTGCATGCCGTGATTCCATATTAGTTTGAACATAAATTATTGTTTTTAAGGTATTATCACAATAAACAAATTTGGAGACTTGGTATATACAATTTTATGTGAAAATTTTGTTCAAAGTTAAATAATAATATTTAGAATTTCACGAAATAATTTATCCACAGAATAACATGAACTGTAAGAAGTTAGTATGTTAATCAACATGTTAATGTAGTGTTTTAGTATCAAAAAGAAATATTTTAAGCATAAAATAATTTATATATAGAACTTAATATTATGTACTCACAGATTTAATGATGTTTTGAGTGCATAATGTTGAAGTTTTTAGAAAAGTTAAAGTTCTTTCTTTTATACAGTCGACCTCCCTATAACACTGTTGATAATTCCATTTTATATGAATTCCATGTTGTACAAGTCACTTAGATTTTAGAAATACGTGAGCCATTCACAGCCCGGCACACATATTTGTAAAATTTAAGTGACTCGTACAACATGGAATTCATATAAAATGGAATTATCAACAGTGTTATAGGGGTCGACTGTATATCATATGTAGAATTTATTACAGGAATTTAAGTAACCTGTCTATAAATTTTGTGAGAAGAAAGTGATGATATCACATTGTCACAATTTTATATTTCTTGTTATGTTTCACATATGCAACTCATCAAACTGAATCAGCCTAATGCTAATTTATCTTATGTTACTTTAGCGTATTCCCACATTTCAATTATGAAATTTTCTTGTTGTTTTTTAAATGTCAGTTTTCTAAATCTCATCATCTTTAATGTAACTTCATTCATTTTTAATCATTTTATGTTCATTTTGTTTAAAATGTTATTGAAACTTAGAAAACATAATGATCGAAAATGTAATGTTTGAATTGAATTAATTTTTATTTATATATTATTATTATGCTACCTCATTAGGAATTTTATAAAAGTTGTCTGTTTAAATATTTAAAAAATATGAAAGCGAGACAATTAAAAGTAAATTAAGAGAGGAAACCATTTTTAATTTATACAATAGTTGCATAACTAGATGTAGCTTCAAAATAATTCTTAAACTGCTATAATACATTATGTAAGTTATGTAAAACGAGTGGAGATTATGATTTGGTCGGAAACATTAAAAAAAGCCATTGTAATCTTTTCTGTGTATTGTTGTAAATTCAGTTCAAAAGTGGAAGCACAAGAATTATTCAATATTTAATAATATTGAAATCTAAAAATATATTAATTAAACATCTTAGTAACCTGAGAATGAATTAATTTTGTTAAGCATATTTCATCTCAATGTCTGTTTGATACTTTTTGCAATTTCTGGTATTATCTCTATCTAAATTTCAATATGAGTTTGGGATTTAGAATATTTCTCTTTCAAATTTAGGACTTTTTTTTTTATAAGAAAAAAACTATAATGTATTCACCCCACTATCCAGAACCTATTACCAGTGTGTTTTGTGAATAATACAGTTTATCGGTAACCTTTTTGAACTGTTAAATATAATGTATTCTGAAGATGTTCTAAAATCTTTTAGATGTTACATATTTTTATCCTTTAGCTAATTAGAGTATACTGGATGTGTTTTTTATTCTCTTTGAGACAGTTTCCAAGATTTTTAATCAAGTAACTGATATTAGTCACATGACTATGCGAGAAGCAACATAGTTCTCAAAAAAAAAAAACCTCTAGATTTGCAACAACACAGCTGCCTCCAAATGTGGAGGCCATCATTGTTACTTCCCAAAAATCTTGGATTATTTTGCTTGAGTGATCAAGGTATCACCAAGTAGATAAGAAAACATCACATGACACCCTCTCAGAGATCTTGCAGATACAAAAAATAATTCAAAAATGATTTTGTCACCTTTAAGATCTTAGAGGGAGGAAAAAACACACCCACTGTGATATCTCATGTTATATGTCACAAAAAGTATTTGATTCTCCGAAAATGTAAAAGTATACATACACTGTGCAAATAAGTAAAAGATATTTTTCAATTGTCGTTTTGCATTTATGAATCATGAATAACAATATCTATTTTAACAAAAAATTCTTTCTTAAGGATCTAAAAGAATTGATGCTAAAGAAAAAATAACAATTAGAAGTATTTTATTCTAGTCAATGAATCACAAATGTCATTCCTATTTCTTATCATAAAATGAATATAAGATTTGTATTTTAAGATTATTCAGATAAACAGAAATAATCAATAATTTTTTTTATCTTTTGAAAAAATCAATCAATAAACTGTCTTTATACAATAACGTTACTAAAGATTTTCTTTAAAATGTCTTCTTGTATCTTCGTGTTTATTAATAGATATTGATATATCATATGTAAAACCATAGTGTATATGCAGTTTATAAAATGCTGTACACCACATTATTTTTATTAGTAAAGGGAATTCTGGTTTTTAGGTGTGAAACAGTTGGATAAAAAAAATACAATGTCCAAAGAAATTATATAATTGTAATGTATTTGAATTACAAAATATCTTCTTTGAACTTTATAAATATTTATAAAGCTGAACAGCTTTGTAAATAGAACAGAAAACATGTACTAGAGTAAAAATTTAGATATATATTTAAAAGATAGTTTTATAAAACTTTAAATTATCTTTTGTAATGTTGAAAATGTTAGAATTATATACATTTGTTTGAATACCTAGTGTTTTTTATTCAATTGTTTCACTTCCAAAAAACTGAATTCCTTTTATTGATTTAATTTTAGTGTATGTTTCTACTTAAAAAAACAGACCAAAACTGACAGAAATGTATTTTAATGAGGTCCAAACACACACAACTCATATTTATTGATAACAAGTAACTTTATGCAACATAATGAAACAAAAAGAATAAATAGTATAATTTTGTACTGCTAATTGAAATTACTGGCACATTTGGAACTGCCAAATACTCCGATCAATATGATATTGAACATACTTGTGAAGTATTTTCACCAGGCCTTTTATCTTAGGAAAAGTTATAATTAAGCGTGTCTTATGATCCTTTTATTCCTCAATCGAATCTTCAACTCTGCTCTCAGAACTAATGTTTCCTGTACGAAAAACTTCCTGTATTTTTGTATGTACTGTACTCTAAAACACTCTCTTTAATGTGCTCCCAATATCTTATACTTTAGATAAAACTTATACTTTTTAACATGAAGGGCATCCACAAAAAAAGATGTTAACCTCCAAATTAACATACTGCATTTATTACCACAAATTTTTCCAGCCCAATTCATTCAGATTTTATACAAACAGATATAGAACAAAAATATTAGTAATTAGTAGTGAGTAATGAAGCGAAGCTTCCAAGAAAGCAAAGGCCTCAGACGGGCATTATTACTGCCCAGTTAATTACGCAGAATCATTAACTTGCATTGAAAACATCCAAAATATTGAACTTTATTTTTTAAGTAGTTCAAAATATATTAAAAAAAAAAAAAACACTTTAATTTATTAATTTATTATTTTATCTATCCTATTGCAATAATAAAAATTACAAATTATAGCAACATGGTATTGCTTGATTTATTGAACAAAATTAAAAATTATCTTGATGTAAATTTTATGAAAATAAATTATGCTGTAATTATCACTAAATTGAAAATAATGCAAATTCTTTTTTATGTTTGTAAAAATTAAAAAAAAAAGGAATGTTTTAGTAAAAACAAACACAATAAAATGTAATTTTAATGAATCTCAATCATTTTTTAAATTTTATGTAAAGATTTTTTTTTGTTTAAACTCATTTTACATGTTCTAAACTGTAAAATTTTTATAGTTGACGATGATGTAATGTATTTAGAAGTATTGTAAATAATTGATCTCAACTTCTGTACAGATTCTATTATTATTATTATTATTATTATAAACACACAAATGTAGAATGCACAAAAATGTTTTCCAAATTTTAGAAATAAGTTTTTAAAGATACGGACAAATCGACATACGGCCCGTCATGCCAACCGAATTTTAAGATAATTTTCTTTAAATTAAACCACCTCTCATTAAGAAATTGGAAGATTACGATAAGGCAGGGACAATTTATTCTTGTGAAAATGATCTCCTCATCTGTCCAAACATTATTTTTATTACAAGATGATGATTATGATGATGAAATAGATGTAAAAATTGCCATTTTTAAAAAGATACAAAATAGTAATTTAATGTATATTTAAAGAAAGTGTTTTTTGCTATTTATTTAAAAAGGTGCATCACCACATATTAATGTTTTTTTTTTTTTTAACAAACTTGTATTTTCTAGTGTGAAATTGATGATAAAAAAATATTTAAATTTGTAATAATGTTTGAATT